GGTTAGGATAGATATATAGTTACATTCTCTTAATGAATAGAGGGATTTGTTCTAATGGTGTTTGTAAATAGGATATCATGTCCGCATCTTGTACAGCAAATAACCACTAGGAAGAATGTATGCAATGAGTTAATTATTGAAACTGTCCTACCAATTTGATTTGAAACTGTCTCACTGCTATTTGTTTCTGAATAAAATTACGAAAAAAAAGAAATGTTTGCCTCTCTCTGAAGAATTTTTTTAATCAAGAGATTTTCACTGTTGAGCTTATAGAAGTGTGGCTGAAAGTTACATATACTGCCAAGTTCATTAGATTTAGAAAATAAAGGCCGCGTTCTATTCATCTGCCACAGGCTGGCCCCAGGCTTGCTTGCAGGTTTTGTCACCCCTCTGGACTTTGATTTCCTGAACTAATAAGAGACCACGTTATTTCCTATAATCAAAATAATATACTGAAGTAAAAGGGCTTTGAACAGTAGTCTCTTGCCATAAAAACTCAGATTGTCCTGTGAGGCTGAATTTGCTTGTTGTAATGAGATTGTGTCTATAAGTCATAGAGACAGAAGAAGAGTGTGTGGAAATCAGGCAAGTTGGACTCCAGCTTTTGGAAAGAACCAGGAGGGCCAAGAAAGATAAGTAGAAGCCCTGGCCTGAGAAATGGTGACTGGGGCTTTTCAAGAAAGCTGACTGGTTTGAATTGGAAGCACATTTTGAGAAAGCAGTGGAAGATAAAATGCATGAGATAAAAGTATCTCCACTGCCTGGGGGACAGAGGGGCAGTGAGTGGAGGGAGACCAGTTGTGCTGTGCTTGGTTAATAAAAGAAGTCTGTCACAGCCTGGGGGTGCATTTGCATGTGTTCCTTTGCCAGGCTGTGAAGTTGTGGAGGAGGGGGAACGGGGGGAGGGGGGGGAGAGCAAACAGACTAAGATTTGCATGGACAAATGCAAATATGGGTGTACTTTAGAGGTTTCTTCACTGGATGTGGGCAGTGAGGGAGAGCAGGGGCTAATGGACCCTGCTTTTGAGAGGAGCATGAGGAGAGTGGAATGAGAGGGGAAATCAAGGGTAAGCAGCAGCCACGCCTTCCTCCTCCTACTCCCGCTGCTCCCCCACTCCTTCCCCTTCTACTCCTCCCCCTCTTAGTTCTCTGCACCTGGGTTGTTGCCCCTCCTCTACATAGCTTGGCTTCATAGAAAAAAGATGACCTTGCTCTTGACTCTACTTAGCTTGAAAAGTACTGCAAGGGTCAAGGGGATGTAGAAAGAAGGAGAAAAGGCACTTCCTGTAACAAGGCGGCAGATGGGAAAGGGGGCAGTGACCCTACTTACTGTGGAACGCTCCACAGGTTTCCAAAGCCCTCAAACCAACCAGAATATGAATGTGTGATTTTCAAAAGTTTAGGGAGCACACTCGGTTGTGACACACGACGTGGTCTATAAAATTTTAAGAATTAGTCATAAAAAATTGGGGGCCTGAACTTCCGGAAGCTGATTTTTATTCTAATTAGGGGAGCAAAACATTCCATTCTTCAATAAAGGAAAGCCCATTCATTAGTAGGGTTGTTGGGAAAAGAAAAGAATTCTATACAATCCTCATCCTTCAAAAAATAAATACAAGCAGCCACGTATGTTTCCCTGGAGTTTCAAAAATAACAGGACTTTTGTTACTTTCTCAAAGGATGCCATCCTTTATGAGCTTATCAGCGCAACTCGCTTTTCTTTCCACATTTGAATGAAATTCTGTTATTTCTCTCAGGGGCTCCTCCAGGGACAGGAGCTGCCAGTCTCCCACAGGTGTTCCCCCTACTCCCCTCACTGAGCCTCCGTGTGAACCACCTAGGCACTGGGGCGGCACTGCTCTTCAGTGGAGAATCCCAAGTGTGACAAGTCAGGCAGTGATGTCACATGGGTTCACTGTTCCTTTGGGAAGTAAGCTGAAGACCTTCATTTGCCCTGTAACCCAGGGGAGAAAGGGAAGAAAAAGAAGTTTACTGTCCATAGTGGAGTAAGAGGATGCTTTCAATGGTGCTTTCCTGCAAGGAACGTGACGGGCAAGCCAGCAAGGAGTGGCTGGATGCTCTCTGTGTCCACCCAATGGGAAGGGGGAGGTGGCTGAGGTCCCAGGACGCATCTCACAGACTGACTTCATAGTGACTGCCTTGCCTCTATGCAGACCCAAAGCTCCAGGGACTGAGGTACTGCTGGGATCCTGTTTTATCTTATGAAAGGTCAGGATATCCCTAACCCATATGTTTATCTCTGATCAGTTGCATGTGTCATTTCTTTAACAGTCCTTGAGCTGTATCCCTGTCAGGTACAGGGATATACACAGCAACAGAAGTCAGGTGGAGGTGTATGTGACAACAATGGCTTTCTGTTCTTCCCTACTCCGTTGGCTGCATTTCATAGGACATCCAATCCTGGGATGCAAAGAAGGCACTTACACAGGAAAGAGGTCTGAAGAGGGAGTCAGAGTGACTGAGAAGTGAGGAAAGGGGTTGCTGAATTTTTTATTGGCATAGATTGTTTTCTTTTCAAAATTTAATTTTATTGTTACATGCTTGCAGTACATGCAGCTTACACTAGCATTAGTGATTAGGCACTTGTACATGAAACAGCTTGCTTCCCTTCCCCTCTGTACCCACTTCCCTCCCTCAGTCTCTATAGCCCCTTTCTCCATTTCCATTCATATTGTTATTATTTGTAGCTCATGTTTATGGCATATACTGTTTACATATATTATAGTTTCACGGTACGTGTACCTGACACATCTTAAATCTTCTTTATTTCCCCATCTCCTCTCTCCTCCCCTTTTTCTAGATCAAAAGCCTTCCTTGTTTTTTACATGGCTACACAGGTCATCATTAATCATAACAATGAGCACTTATCAGTCACTTGGTAATATATAAGAAAATTAGGGCAAGTGTTATTATTCTCTTTTACAAATGAGGAAGGGGATTGAGAAAGATAAAATCATCTATCCAGAGGCACAGAAGGGACAAGTGATAAAGCTGGGGTAGGAGCTCAGTCCTGTGACTTGGATGTTTGAGAGGCCACCTGGTCTCATGACTCCAATATCCACAGGTGGGAGGTAGGCACGTTTTTCTAGCCTGGCTCTGTTTTTTCTCTTGGTTTGCTTACTGCAGGGAAAGTGTGAGCCCCTTTTTCCTACGCCATTCCCACACATAAATTCACTCCCTTATGTACCATTTGCAACAGGCTATTTGGTGCAGGTTTGTCCCCAGCCCATCTCTCATGTCTCATCCCCTCACTAGAGGTCACAATTTATATAACCGCTTTCTACCAATGGCAGGGTAGGAGGCAGCAGCAAAGTTCTTTTAAGAGATTGAGAGTAGGAAGGTCAAGTTCAAGGCTGGTGCTTGTGCTAAGTCGCTGTCCAGGAGTGAAGAGGAAGAGAAAGGAGGATGAGGGAATAGACAGAAATTCAATGATACCAGGGAAAAGACAGGGGACATGTCAGAAACAAGGCAGGTGGAATAAGCAAAAGGGTATGATGAGGGACACAAGGATTCCTTGTCATGATACTCCCTGAAAGGGAAAAGTAATTAACTTCAGACAGCATAAACACATACATGGCTGCATTAGTAAAGGGCACAGAAGTAAATGTGTAAACTCACCCGCAAGATTTCTTCAACACAGCTCGGATCACTGGGAAGGCTTACCTAAAACAAACAGAAAAAAATTAAGCACAATCTAGTTATTCTCAGGGAAGCCCACTGTTTAATAGTTTACTGTATAGGACAAGTTACATAAAGCTTAACACATGTAGCTTTCAATTTGTTTTCCTGTTGAACACTAAGCAGGATTTTCAATGAGACAATTTTATTTCACTTCTGTGAAGCAGGAAGATCATACTGAGGATGCAGAAAGAAAGCGACTCCTTATTCCGTCACTGATTTGCTGTGGGACAGAGTCATCCCGTCCTCCTGGTTTTGTATTTGCTCATCTATTCAAAGAGCGAGCATGATCTCATGGTCCTTAAGGCCTCTTGGGCTCACTATTGGTTTAGTACAGCAAGCATTTTAAGGACCAGGCCTATATAAAACACTTCTATGATTGAATTGATTCATCTTTGAATTGATAGTGCAACCTGACTCCTCCACTCTTTTATGCAATCCAGGCATGGTGGAACATGCCTATAATCCCAGCGCTAGGGAAGCTGAGGCAGGAGGATCAAATATACAAGTTCAGCTGAGGCTAGTAAATTCAAGCCACCCTGAACTCCATAACAGGACCTGTGAAAAAGAATTTTTTAATTCAAAACATGAAAACTAAACAACTGCGTGAATTGTATGCTTGTTTTTACACTTCAAGTCTCAGATATACATCAAAAGAATCCCAATGAGAAGATCTGTACTAATAGTGTTTGGACAGGATATCATGTCTGCATCTTATACTAGGAATAACTACTATGAAGACAACAATATACACTGTATTAATTATTGTAACTGTCTTACTAACCTGTTTTGAAACTGTCTATTGCTACTTGTTTCTCAATAAAATTAATAAAAAATAAGTCCCTATAAATAAAAAAGAGAGAATCCCATGAGTAATATTTCTCAGTGTGACAGATTTTTAATCAGTCTAAATTCAAGTCACTTGTAGAAAAGTATTGGGGAAGTCCCCTATGTCAAACACACAGCTCCTTTCTGCAGGAGCTGCTTAATTGGTGAATGTAAGAAACCAAACGCCAAAATGAGACACCAGCTACAAAACAGAGCAAGACGAAGGACTAGGACAACCACCTGGAGAAATGTCTGCTAATCACACAGCACCTGTGAATGTTACCAGGCTATCCCAGACGTTCCTAACTCTCCCCTCCACACCTGCGTTCTCTCCAGGACTGTCGCCTGGTCACTTCCAGTCCCCAGTGCTGTTCTGCTAAGGGGAACAGTGGGTCTGTCTTGTTTGCTGACATAGGACAGCCTGTGGACAGCACCACTAAAGCTTCCAGATGCCCCCAGCCTTTGCGAAGGAAATGTGTCACCCTGAGACTGCAATACAAGCTCAACTACATTTAAGGAAATGGGGAACAACTCTGGGACCAGATTTCCTCAATCTTAAAAAAAATAAAAACACTACAAATCTTCAATTAGAATTAACGTTACTATGGTACATATATTAATTTCAAGCAGTGTTCATTAATTATGTCCCCCATGCAAAGGGTTCCTGCTTCAGGGAGCATAAAATCTCTATGACAGGAAGAAGGCAGAGACATTCACTGATAACTTTGGGCTAGCCATACTGGATTACCCAGTGCAGTCACTTTTTACCCTTGTTATCCTAGTGTAATTACTCATGCCATCTCCTTTCATCCTCAAAATGTCCCAATTTGCCTCAAATTATATAGTCATCCTTCTAACATTACTACCATTATAATACTGGGTAGAAGCAACAGAAGCAACAGTGGAACAAAGGCTCAGAAAGTTGGCAGATTGCAAAGAACCTTGAATTCTGGGTTTCAGACTAGGAATCCACAGATGGCTTAGCCTATTGAAGTTCATTCGTTCTTTCACTCAACAAATATTCTTGAAGGCCTAGGACTGTGCATTGGGCTGGTGCTAGGTTAATATACAGTGAGAAAGAAAAGAGTACTTAATTTCCTCCCTCGTGGAGTTTGCAGGCTCTACAGGATGGCAGGTAAATGGAAAGAATCACAGTTAATACCGCTGTCACTGGCAAGTGCCGCAAAGGCAGACTATCTCATGGGCACCAGTTCTGTAAACTAAAAGGTTCTATGTACGAATAAATGTGAGAAATGCCACCATGCTCATCGCCACCTTGAAGATCCACGAAGCAAATCAGAGATATTGAGACAAGTTTTTATTTTAATCCAGCACATTCCTGACTTACTAGATCTTCCAATTCTTGAGTTTCCGCTTTTATTTGTTTTTTCCACTTAATGAATATTCCTATTTCATAGAATGTATATTCAGAGAAAGAACATACAAGGCAAGATGCTGTGTTAGCGCATTATCAGATTATAGTACTCGCCTGGTAATTTTTAACAGCAAATAAAATCTCATTCATTGCTGCAGCCTCCAGCAACTGTCAACACAATTCTTGAACTTCCCACTAACACCTTTCCTAAGCACAATGGTCAAAAGGATTGTAACAGAGGCTTAAATCTTCAATATCATTGCTGTGCTGTATCAGTGTAGGCTTCCTAAGCTACATGTATACTGACCAGTGTCATGCAAAGGCCTTTGTGGTCTATGTTCCATGAATCAAGGTTAATTTTGAAAATAAAGAGGAAAATATATCACTAATATGTACATACAGCAAGAGCTCTTGCTTATGAGTTAAGAGAGTGAGGTGGGTGTTTGGTTCACACCTACTGCAAATAAGACTTTACTTCTCTCCCTCAGTTCTGTTTCCCCAACTGTAGAATCAATACAATAATAATACTTACCCTGTTAAATATCACAGGGTTTCTGAGGGGATCAAATGAAATAAGCAAAAGGATGGTGCTATGTAACGTGCAAAACCCAACACACCGAGTCAGTTGTTACCCCTTGTGCTGTGCTTCTCCTTATTAAAAGTCCAGGCTTCTTGCCTGTGCAAGCTGAGAGCTGACTCACTCTTGTCAGCTGAAAATATCATCTGTACACCTGGAGTTACAAATGCCCATGCCTTTAGTGGGGAAATGCCGTCAAACGAGAAAGAGTTGCAGGCTCTGGAGCTTTGCAGCAAATCCAGGAATGGGGATCGTAGCCAGTAACACTCAGGTGAGAAGAACACTACAGAAAAGAGCAGTCAAATCAATCTACATTTGCAACTATGTTCAGATATTTGTCTTTTTTTTTTTTGAAGTGACTGGTTCCACAAATTTATCTAGCCGAGCCCACAGCTGGTTTCTCCATAAGATAATTCCAATGGAAGAGCATTAACCAGCAGACATTTATTTCCTACATACCTAGAACAGTGCTGGACGCAGCAGGTGGGGTGGGGGTGTGTTGGGGAGGTAGTTAAGATAAATAACTATGAGACTTGGCCTCTTTCTCCCAGAGTCAACTGTCTAGATGGGACAGGAAAACAAACAATTAGGGACCCACTGGGACATACACTGTAAGGTAGTCTGACAAGGGTAATAGGATCCTATTCATTCCCAGTCTGCCTATTCATCAGTTCTCCCATTTGCTTCTTTAGACAACAAATCCTGATTGAGCTCACACTGTGATGAGGATGGTGCCAAGGGGGAGGATTTAAAGACACCAAACACAGCACCACTTCTGCCTTCAAGGTTCCCGGCAAATGAGAGACACAACACTTATGCATGAAACACAATCCCGAGCAGGCAATCTCATTTAGGTGCCATGGAAGGGTACCTATCAGGTTCATGGACAGAGCCATGCTGGACAGAAGCTCCCAGTTGCCAAGGTCCCTACTGCAGTCCTTACTCCATATGGGAATGAGAAGCCAAGGATTTGACATGGCTGAGAAATGCTGGGGCCCCCTAAGGCCACTTGAGTCTCTGAGTTCCCTGCAGCACTGTGCTGGGGTCACTGTGCACTGGAAGGAAGCTGCCTGAGCCTGGGCTGGATCTTGTCCTCTTACCTTCTCAGGCACACACCCCCAACACACACATACACCTCTATAAGTAATTCTGGAGGAGCCACTCACACAGGTGTGACAGAAAGAGACTGAGAAATAGAACTAGTGGTGGCCCTGGGATTAGAACTGCTGCCCTGGAGTTGCTGAGCTGCTGCCCAATGCCAGAGCCACCTTCTCCTCCCTTTGAATCCACTCTTGCATATTCAGATAGCCCACAAAGCCCAAGTTAGCCACTCAGAGCTGCAGCGTCCGTTCACATTCACCCTCTCCGCCTCCTCCTCCTAGAGCAGAAAGCAAGTTGCATGACGGTGCGCAGGGGAGACTGTGCATTCACTCTTGGTCCCGGACGACCCGCTTGTGCTGGGCAGGGTTGTGGGCCTGAGGGCCAGCGAAGGGAGGTGCACGTCGGGCTGATGGCAAGGGACCTGAGAGCACTCACAAGTGCCTATGCTGTCTGCATTTGACAGTGCCGGTGGCCACCCCACAAGGCACAGGGAGACCACGTACAGATCATCTGGCTGGTGATAAATACATACCTTATGAAATAATCAGGGTACCTTTAGATCATCAAATATTCAATTAACTGCAGCAACAATAAATGAATTGCATAGGATGTTTTAATCATCCTGGAATTAATCAGTTTGGAGCATACTTCCAGGAGATTAGAGTAATGCAAGGTATCAAAACTACCCTGATTGTGGCACTGAGAGACATAAGCAGCAGCTACCATTAATAGAAAACATCAAGGTAAGTGTAAAACATTAAAAGAAAATGTATAATAGATATTAGGAAATGGGAAGAAAATGCTCAAATGAGAAGGGGATAGGGGCAATGAAAGATGGGATGAGAAAAAGTATAGGCAGAAAAAATGGACCCAAAGTTTTTTATAGATAATGAAGGGAAGAGGGGTTGAAGAGAGGGGAGGGGAATGGGAAGAAGAGAAGCAAGATGTTATCATGTGCTGGCAAACTCCCTACGATGAATGGTATCATTGCACATATTGGAATATGATGTACTAATAAAATAAAAGCATGACAAATAAAGAGTTAAAAACCATAAAAGAAATATGATCATCACATGGCTAACCCAGAAAAGCTCAATGCATGTC